GGCTGGCCGGAAGGGAGCCGCAGGAGCCCTGCGCCGCCGCCGCCGCGCAGACGGCCGGTAGACTGTTCTGTTTGGTATCAGTGGATATTCACACAAACGTTTTCATCATCTGCTCAGTTCACTACAAACAAAAATGGGAGAATAGCTGAAGATAACGGAATAATCTATTGCTTTTGAATGAGCTGTTCCTTAAAAACTGCAAAGAAATTTTCCTAGGCCGTTGCATCTGTCCACAGAGACGTTTTCTGGCTCTCTAGGAAAGAGTCGTACGCTGTCATGTAAACCGCCCTCAAGTACTTCAGCATCTCCAGCACTGTTCAGCTTTTTAAAAACTATGGGATTAGGTGGAATGGGAGGCTGTTTTTAAGTTTGGTTGTTCTTTATTAAGCTTATCTATCCTGGTATGGATACCAAGGTATCTGCGTGCGTGTGTGCGTGCGTGCGTGCGTGCGTGAGGGAGAGAGTACACTTGTGTGCGCCCGTGAATATATGCGTGGGTACGTGTGAGTGGCTGCTTCTAGGCTGTTAAGTGTCAGTGGAATAAAGAAAATGTATTCAAAATACTTAAGTCAAAAAATAGAAGGTGGAAAAAAGATTTATTCTATACAAAGCCTTGTCTGGACCACTTTAGAGAGACTTCTATTTTTTTAACCCTTCTATAAATATTTGATGGCACTTGAAATATTCCTGCAATAAAATGTGATTTGTGTAAACATTAAAAAAAAAAAAGATTTTGTAATGTGAAACAATGAAAGAAAGTAATGTAATTTTTCTAAAAAAACAAAAAAAAGAACGAACTTTGTATTATTTTCTTGATGGAATTTGTCTATTTGTCTTTGGAAAACTTTTTATTTCATTGAATGTGCCATAGTAGAGGTGTGTTTTTCTGTTTCTTTCTCTTTTTTTTGTTTTTTACATTTTAGATTAAAGGAATAGCTGTGTTACGACATTCCAAAATGCAAGATGACATAGCAGTCATGATTAAAAGGATTGATTAGTAAGCTTCAATCATTGTTGCTTTTTTTGCACATGTTCTTCATTCCTCTACAGTGCAATATGTACATAGAGCACTTGCGGGTGTAACCTTGATCCCTCAGGGAAAAATACATATTTGTACAGGATTTTTCTTTTTTTTTTTTTGCCTTTTTTTTTTTTTTTTTGCTAAGGAATGTCGATTGAATCACTTGTCTGTTGTCAAGGGGCAGCCAGATAATAATCCTAAACCACTGTCACAAAACATTGATTGTTTAATCATTTTATGCCCTTTTATTATTTAAAAAGAAAAATAAAAGTTATTTTCTGACAGTTCTTTGTGCTGATTGGTGAAAAAAGGGTAAATAGATAAGCACCTTATGATTGACTTAACTGTGAATGACAATCCATCTTGCTATCAACAACAGCAGCCCTATCATTTTGGAGTTGGGGATAAGAGTCAGAAACTAATGTGCTCAGGGATCTTCTAAAACTCTTCAACAGGGTGGCCAGTACTACTGGTAGGACAAATTACTTTGTAAAAAAAAAAATAGTATTTCTTCCCCTTTCCCCTCCCCCCAGGCACAAGTGAACTGGATAGATTCCTTTTTTTTAACCTAATTGCTCTGTGTGTGCCTCATTCTGTTATTCAGTTTTTCAGTATATCTACTCACCGGTCTTTATTTTGTTCAAATCAAAGTACTCCAAACAGCTCAAAGGTTTTGCCATTATACTTCAGAAAATAATTGAATGCTGAGCCATTAATAGATCGTGACTGAAACTTAATTTTAATACCCTCTGGCTATTTTTATAATCATAGGACTATATTTTCAAGCTGAATTTCAGTATTTTGCAATAGAAGATGAGTTTTCAGTATTTAAATTATTGTTAAAGAAAACAAATCAGTTTATGATAGGTTATACAATATGAATGGAACAGCGATAATTAAGTCTTGGCAATAAAGTCACGTAGTAAGGAGCATAAATCTGTAGGAATAGAAGAACAAGAGTTCAGACGTTAGCTGTCGTTGTTGCATATGCTTCATGGTAAAGCAAAAATCCTAATTGGAAAGAAACCCTGAAGTACAACAATTACAGCGATTACAAGTGATCACAATAGTACCAAAACCCAGCAATGTCTACTAAGTCGCTAAGTGCCAAATTGGAGGATTCTGGAAGCCTACCGCAGCCGGTCTTGTTTGTGGCTTCCCATTCTTCTTAACATGCAAGTAGAAAAGTAAATAAGAACTACAGACAAAGCAAGCAAGAATCTGAGACGTTAGTTAGATCAGGCAGACAGTGACTTTCTCCATCAAACGTCATTTTTTTTGTCTTGAAAAAGCATCAGTTCTCCAATATCTTAGGTTACTGGGTTTTATTTTCGCTAGGTGTATGGCTTCCAGTTGTTCATTTCACGTAGCTAATAACTAAGGACATCTTTCTTAGCGTATTTCAAGCTAGACAGCCCAGTGTAGCTTGCAGTGGACTTCCAAGGTGGACAATTGCTTAGCAAGTATGAGCTCCTGATCGCTCTGCATTCCGGCATCTTCATCAGAAGAAAATCCCTATGGCCGAGTCGCAATGGAAACGAAGTTACATTACAGCCTTTCCATATATCACTCAGACAGTCTGTTAATACGTGCAGTCCATAAGATATGTTTTAACCATGTAGTGGGGTGATGCAGACATTACAGGGTTTTTTTGGACTCTTAGAACTGGCATAGACCTTCCCCAGTCTGTATGTTATAAGCTGTGCAAACAATATGTGTTTTTTTTTTTCTACAAATTCCTAAAGTCCCCAATGTAGATAAATTTATTAATATAGACTTCAGAAACAGCATTTAATAGCCAATATCCAAAAATAATAAGCAATTTGCTCTTGAGTATTCAGTATCTGAAATTCTACCTGTGCTAGCTGATTTAGACTGCACGGAGGAAATATCTGTATTTATTTTCCTTAGTTGAAGAAATGTAACTACTAGAATTAAATTTTTATTATTGATACTAATATTTATTATTTTAAAAGTTGTTTTCCATGAACATGTTTGAGTATCAGCTTCGTATTGTCTGTTTGCTTAAGTTATTCCTGCCAGTAAATCATTTGGTGGAAATGAGGGCAAATGCATAAGGAAACCAAATACAACAGAAAAGTTTTAAAATCTGAATAAGTATTTATTAAAATAATTGCAGTATGTATGTGCTTTAATCCTAGTACTGTGATAATAGCAGCTGACTAAGTCCTGCTAAATCACTGGACTTGAGGGGAAAAATAGGTAACAATAGGTAACAAAATAGTCCAATTTTGGAACTTTATTCAGGTACTAAATAGAATTATAACATCAAAATAAAAGCTGTATTCTACCTTTTCCATATGTAACATTGTCTTTTATCTTGTTTTGCCTTTATCATTGGTAGAATATAGCAATAACACGTTATAGCAATAAGTAGGCTATCCAAATAAGAAATAAAACATGATAAAGGCTTCAGATCGATATTCCTAGGTTTAGTTCTTTTGCCATAATATTCACTTGTCTGTCTTCCCTCGTAATCTCATTACTTCTTGGAGCTGAGTGTCACAATCAAGCGGTTTAACTCGACATGTGACAAGACACTTTTTTGTTAACACCTGCATGTTTTCAGTGTTCACATGTCCTTTGTGTATTTGTTTTCCTGTAAGTCAGTGTTTCTCAAGCCGTCTGAAGGCACGTTCCCTCTGGGCTCTCTGCCCTCCCAGGGCTCGCTGCGTTGGCGTTCGCTTAGTTTCTCCGGGGCAGGGAGCGAGAACCAGCTGTACCTACCGGCCGCATTTCCGAACTGAAGGAACTGAGCTGCTGCCAGCGTTCGGTAGCTCCGCGGCGCCTGCAGA